GTACAGGTTGTTGTGGCCAATCAGCTGTATTATCTGACCATTGTCAGCCCTTCTTCCTGTCCTACCATGTCCCAACTTGGTCAGTTAGAAACGGAAGATCCATTGTTAGCGAAAGTACACTTGACTAAAGCCAAGCGATTACAGAAGAAGCAAGGCTGGATCTGGGATTTTCGCGCCCAAAGCATACGGTTAACTTTTCCCTTGTTCCCACCTTCCCCCCTGGTTATCAACGAGTGTCCAATTAGGTGCTAGGAAATTGTTGGAGTAACAGTCCCTGTCTTTGAGGGTGTTGTGGCTTGTCGGCCGCCGGCCCCTTCAGCAACCGAATCAGAGGAGGAGGAGGCAGCGTGGGAGTCAGGATCGGCATCAGGGCAACCCGAGAGCTCTGAGGAGGAAGAGGGAATGGACCTGTCCGAGAGAGAGAGACAGAGGCGGAGTCTGGGCTGTCTGTCAGCCCTCAGATGGAGAGTCAACAGCCCCCAGGTCTGGAGGTGGCTGATGACGAAGAGGAGGAACAGCTGGGTCCAGTGCCTGATGTGCGGATATGCAGAAGCAGAGGAGAGGAGAGCAGTGGAAATCAATGGGCTGGTCCTTGGGACAGAAGAGCCACCGCTGCCAGCGAAGCCCCACCCTAGCTCTGGAGATAAAAGGCCCCACCAATCTTGGCCCCACCTGTCCCTTTTCTGCCAACAGTCAGTCAGTTGGGTTCAGAAGAAGAATCAAATCAGTGAAAGACTTATTTGGTGTACTCTTGTCTCCCCAAAAATAGGACCCAATTGGAAAATAAGCCCTAGCGTGATTTTTCAGGATGCTCGTAATATAAGCCCTACCCCCAAAATAAGCCCCAGTTAAAATTGTCAGCCAGATGGATGCATTTAGTACCGTATTTCCCCCAAAATAAGACCCAACCAGAAAATAAGCCCTAACGTGATTTTTCAGGATGCTCGTAATATAAGCCCTACCCCCCAAAATAAGCCCCAGTTAAGATTGTCAGCCAGATGGGTGCATTTATACCATATTTCCCCAAAATAAGACCCAACCAGAAAATAAGCCCTAGCATGATTTTTCAGGATGCTTGTAATATAAGCCCTGCACCCAAATAAGCCCCAGTTAAGATTGTCAGCCAGATGGGTGCATTTAGTACCATATTTCCCCCAAAATAAGACCCAACCAGAAAATAAGCCCTAGCATGATTTTTCAGGATGCTCGTAATATAAGCCCTACCCCCAAAATAAGCCCAGTTAAGATTGTCAGCCAGATGGGTGCATTTAGTACCATATTTCCCCCAAAATTAAGACCCAACCAGAAAATAAGCCCTAGCATGATTTTTCAGGATGCTCGTAATATAAGCTCTACCTCCCAAAATAAGCCCCAGTTAAGGTCGTCAGCCAGATGGATGCATTTAGTACCGTATTCCCCCCCCCAAAATAAAACCTAACAAGAAAATAAGCCCTAATGCGTCTTTTTGGAGCAAAAATTAATATAAGACCGGGTCTTATTTTTGGGGAAACACGGTATACATGAATGTGGATGGGGTTTGCAGTGGGTTCTTGCAGTGGGATGATAAATCAAAAAGCCTCGATGATTTATGCAAATCGTTCAGAAATCCATTTGCCTTTTATGGACTTAACTGCAGGATTAGTGTTTGCAATTCATCATTCACAATGGCAACAGAAGCCTGGAGAGGGTGGGATAACTTTCTCTTCTTGTTAGATCCTCTTTTATATATATATATATAAATGCTTTTATAAAACGCTCATTACTACTACCAACTTCAGGAATGGAAAAACTATTTGACAAGTGGGGGGGGGGAAATCCTTTCGGATCTTACCTCTTGCTCCCAAGGAGCTAGGTGGCTCAGTGGCTAAGACGCCGAGCTTGTTGTTCAGAAAGTTCGGCGGTTCCAATCCCTAGTTTAGGTCTCCTGCGTGAGGGAGGGGGGTTGGACTAGATGACCTCCAAGATCCCTTCCAACTTTGTCACTGTTACCGTTAGGATGGTTTTGTCCTCCCTGCTTGGCGTTTGGAGACAGATCCAACTCTTATTTCACTCTATTTAAACGTCGTCTCGGTTTAATGTAAATTTCGCTCTCCTATTTAAACACATCAGTCGCCTCGGAAAGTTGGAAATCATAAAGGAATGGAAATCAAATAATAGGAATCTTCCTTTGAGGGCCTCCAGCTGCTCCGTGAAAACTTTCCTTTTTAGGAAGGATTGGAACTTGTGAGAGGCACGATTGAATCCTGCGAGTTCTTTTTGATAGATTGATTTTTTTTTTCCTCCTGCTTCCACTTCATTTCGGTCTTATAGGTGGTTTCTTCTCTTCAAGTAAGGGGATAATTTCCCTCCTGGATGAGCCTTGGTGGCGCAGCAGACTAAAGCACTGTTAAATAACACCAGCTGCCTGCAATTACTGCGAGTTCGAATCTCACCAGGCTCAAGGTTGACTCTGCCTTCCATCCTTCCGAGGTAGGTAAAACGAGGACCCGGTTTGTGGGGGCAATAAGCTGACTTTGTATAAAAAAGAACACCGCTTAGGGGGGGGCGAAAGTCCTACAAAGCAGGTATATACAAAAGTATGAAGGCTATTGCTTAACGCATTGTAAGCCGCCCTGAGTCTCCGGAGAAGGGCGGCATATAAATCGAACTAATAAAATGAATAAATAAATAAATTGGAGGACTGTCATCCCAGCCCAGGCTTAGCTCCCTGACATGCTGGCTAATTATTTCTGACTTTGCTGACTGATGCTAAGTTTCTCTTAGTTTCCTTTCGCCGCGACTTCCGTAGAATTCGGGGAAAACGGCCGACTAGATTAGGCAAGCAAGGGGCAAGCAAATGAAACGAGTGGGGTGAAGGAAAAATCGTTCACGTAAACTGAAGGGAGCCCCTAACGACATTGGATGGGAATAAGCACTTCTGTCTGCTCTTGATTTTTTTATTTTTATTTATTTTATTTTTTTGCCAGCTTAGCATTTGGGAGGAGCTGCCAGAAAGAGATGGTGGAAGTTACTTCTGCCCTTGGCACGCTTACACAAACCTTGAGGGCTGCTTGTAATGTGATAAATCTCCCCCTTCACCTCTCCCACCCTGAGTTAATCCCCACTTCTTCTAAACCTCCATCCCCCCTTCCCTTCTCAACCTGCCTTTTCGGATGGCTTGGATTCCCTCTCCCATCAAACTCCCCGGAAGTATGGAGTTTGTAGTCCAGCAGCCTGGAATTACAGCCTGGTCTACGTGGGATGGGGCTTGGTGGTGGTGGAATCCCCTCCCCTTACCCAGAGACCTGCCCCTGTGGATGTGCCAATAGGATAGGGATAGGATAAGGATAAGGATAGGGTAGGGTAGAGTAGGGTAGAGTAGAGTAGAGTAGAGTAAAATAGAATAGAATAGAATAGAATAGAATTTTAGAATAGAATTTTAGAATAGAATTTTAGAATAGAATAGAATAGAATAGAATAGAATAGAATAGAATAGAATAGAATAGAATAGAATAGAAGAGTCGGAAGGGACCTTAGAGGTCTTCTAGTCCAACCCCCTGCTCAGTCAGGAAACCCTACACCACTTCAGACAAAGGGTTATCCAACATCATCTTAAAAACTTCCAGTGATGGAGGAACCCACAATTTCTAGTGGCAAGTTGTTCCACTGGTTAATTGTTCTAAATGTCAGGAAATTTCTCCTTAGTTCTAAGTTGCTTCTCTCCTTGATTAGTTTCCACCTGTTGCTTCTTCTCCTGCCCTCAGGTGCTTTGGAGAATAGCTTGACTCCCTCTTCTTTGGGGCAGCCCCTGAGATATTGGAACGCTGCTATCATGTCTCCCCTACTCCTTCTTTTCATCAAACTAGACATACCCAGTTCCTGCAACCGTTCTTCATATGTTTTAGCCTCCAGTCCCCTATAATCCTCTTTGTTGCTCTTCTCTGCACTCTTTCTAGAGTCTCAACATCTTTTTTATAATATGGCGACCAAAACTGGATGCAGGATTCCAAGTGTGGCCTTACCAAGGCATTATAAAGTGGTATTAATACTTCACGTGATCTTGATTCTATCCCTCTGTAGAATAGAATAGAATAGAATAGAATAGAATAGAATAGAATAGAATAGAATAGAATAGAATAGAATAGAATAGAATAGAATAGAATAGAATAGGATTGGCATAGAATAGGATTGGCATAGAATAGAATGGAACAGAACAGAATAGAAAAGAATAGAATAGGAGTAGAGTAGAGTAGAGTAGAACAGAACAGAACAGAACAGAACAGAACAGAATAGCTTTATTGCCCATCATCGCCAACAATGCAGGCGAAAGGAGAGAGTCATAGAAATTAGAATTGCCCCCCTTCCTCCTTTTGCTTTGGTTTCTGGATCATGAGATCTCTCCAAAAGTTATGACGAGATTGCTTGGATTGATCGCAGCAATTTCCCTTGCCCCCATTTCCAACCCAACAGATTATTGGAGGGTGGGGGAGGAATCCTACAAGCAGGGTACGATGGGGGAAGGGGTCTTGCCGATGTCAGATAAACCGTCTTTGATAAGAGAAGCTGGCTTTCCCGATCTCAGACCTAACGGTCCCCCTCGGCCCTTCCACCCCAGCTGAAACCCCTTATCGCCAAATAACCCCTTATCCAACCATCATCCCAAACTAGGTGGCTCGGTGGCTTAAGACACTGAGCTTGTCGATCAGTAAAGTCGGCAGTTTGGTGGTTTGAATCCCTCGTACAGGTCCCCTGCAAGAGCAGGGGGTTGGACTAGATGACCTCCAAGGACCCTTCCAACTCTGTTACTGTCACCAAACCCACCTTCTGCTGAAAAAGGCCTTCGCGGAAACCACAATGGCTCCATTTCCATCTTTTAGGGGAATTAGGAAAGTCTTGGGAATCCCAACCCGTCGACCTTCAACTTGTCTCATCTGGGGAAACCCCGATCAAATGGAGGGGGCACCATTTGGGAAAAGCAAATTACCCCAATTTGCTGGATTTCTCCCCCCTCCCTCCCTTACCTTGGAGTGTCCGTTCAATTCTTCACTGTTGGAAAGAGTGGTGTTGGAGAGAGCCTCCGTGTATTGGTTAGGCTCCTTCGGTTTCTTCCGCTCTTTCTTGGCCAACACCAGCGGGAAATTCGGGAATTCTTGGCAGATCAGCATCGCCAGGACAAACCAACTCCAGCATCGTTGCCTCTTCTCTTTTGAGGACCTCATCTTCGAGCCAAGAGAGGAGCGACCTTCTCGAGATGGAAATCGGAAATGGATCCGACTGTGGATCGTCTTTCCTGGGTCTCTCCCGTAAACTGGCTTTTGCTAGCTCCTAGTCACGCCAAGCGAATCCCACTCGCAAGCAACCTGTAACCATCGCCAGCGGTGATGCCGTTTTCGTCTTTGGATGGCCTGCTTCGACGTCAGCCACGCCAAAGCTCCCCTCTGCCAGCAGCTTCTCAAAACGAAAAAAAAAAAAAAACTTGAGCTCAGAGCAGAAGGTCAATCGGCATTCCCCGTTTCATCTTCTTCTCCTCCTCCTCCTCCTTTTGGCCAAAAAACGTCCAGGGGGAAAAAGGTCAAAAATTGCAGAACCGTTGGAGGCCTCTTCGAAACAGGGGCAGACCCAAAAGGTGAAGGACTGGAGAATCAGGTGCAGGAGAAGGGAAGAGGGGGCATCTAAGCTGCGGCTGGTCTTTTTTTTCCCCCGATGTCACAGTTGCAGATGTCCAAAGCTTGTCTGCTCAAATCTACCCATATATCGGAAATTTGGCAAAGTTGCTTACTTTACCGATGATTTAAAAAAAAAAAAAATCACATATCTGGATGTGCCATCTTAAAAGTCCACAATTTCCCACTTATCAAAAAAAAATAAAGCAAGGGGAAAAAAACTCCACTCAAATCCTTCCTGAATTTTTCGGCCGCTTAAGAAACGATCTGACAATCATCGCTTTCTCCTCCAAACCAGCTTTTCTCCTGAATCTTCTCTCTTTCCCCTCCACCCCAGAGCACATTCCCAAAAGGAATGTCCCACTAACCCCTGTCTCTGAGCGGAGACTTTGGCAAGGGCAGGTTCTCCAAATCGCCAGCTCCTTGCTTCTTGCTTCCTTGCCTGGCAGCTGCAGCCTGGCAGAAAACTTCCCTGGAGTTGTACCGCCGCCGTGAATAAATACAATTTTTGTGGGAGAGTTTTGCATCAACTTGAAAGGAAGGGGGAGTGAAAAAGAGGAGAAGGAGGGAGTGGGGGGGAGAGAAAGGGAGGGTAATTTGTATGGAGAGGGAGGGACCACATTCTAAAGAGCTGTTCAGGCTGGTCTTTTCACATTCCTATTAAGGGGAGACTGTCGGGAGAAAGCAGACTCTTCTTCCCCCCCCCCGTGCCAAAGACGTTTAAATCAGAAAATAAAACTTCTTTCCCCTGTCTGTGACTTGTTTAGCCCTTTGCAGATCCTCTTTCTTTCCATCTCGCAAAATCCTCTCTCTTCTGTGTGCCTGTTGGACTTCTCACTTTTTACAGGTGTTCCTGTTGGCATTTACAGGTCACTTTTGAAAGGATCGGGAAATGCAAGGCAGCCCTCCGGTTTTAATCCTAAAAAAGGCCCCCTCACCGGCAAGGTAGGCTAGGCTGGCAAAAAGCCCTGCAGTGGGTTTCCCAGCCAAGGAAGCACTTGAACTTGGGATGTCTGCAATCTTAGCCTTTTGCCCTAAGCCCTGATTCACGCCGGCAATCCAGTGCTGTTGTCCTTCGGCTTACAGCATGTAGGTAATAATAATGAAGCCAACAATTTATTTTGTGGTGAAGCTAGTCAATGATTGGAAAGCCTCACCAGCAAAGTAGCCTAGGCTGGCAAAAAGCCCCAAAGTGGGTTTCCCAGCCAAGGAAGCACTTGAACTTGGATGTCTGCAATCTTAGCCCTTTGCCCTGATTCACAATGGCAATCCAGTGTCCTTCAGCTTAAAGCTGAATAGATAATAATGATGATGAAGATGATGATGCAGAAAGGTCGTAAAATGGGGCAAAACCATTTTTATAAAGGAGCCTTGGTAGTACAGTGGTCAAAAGCACCCTGTTATTAAGACCAGCTGCCTGCAATTACTGCAGGTTCGAATCTCGCCAGGCTCAAGGTTGACTCAGCCTTCCATCCTTTCTAAGGTAGGCAAATTGAGGACCCAGTTTGTGGGGGCAATAAGCTGACTTTGTATAAATATACAAAAGGATGAAGGCTATTGCTTAGCATATTGTAAGCCGCCCTGAGTCTCCAGAGAAGGGCGGCATATAAATCAAATTTAAAAAAAAACAAAAAACCAGAAGTGGTATTCAGCCGGTTCGGGCGAATTGGTAGCGGAAATCGCGAGTGGGCCTATCCAACCGCCCCGGCTCTATGCTGTCCTATTTAGGCACGCTTTTGAGACTGGGTTCATGTGTGGAGGTGGTGCATGTGGGCAAAGCATGCGCCCGCACTCACATTTTTGATGAATCCCAAAACCGGGCAAAACTCAGTAACTGTTTCGCTTAGCAACAACAATTTTGGGTTCAGTTGTGGCCGTAAGGGCTAATCTATATTTATCATACTTAGAAGTCACCCATCTCTCTCCCGCAATACTCAGATTGAGTTCTCCGTTCTGCTTAAGGTTGAGGATTCCATTCGTGCGACATCCACAATAAGGGACCTACCCTAATTTATTCTCCCCAAATTGAACCAAACTTCGGAAGTCCGTTGTGCTTGCTCTTACTTAGAAAGCCAGGCCTAATCCTACGAGTTCCTCCGCTGCAATTCAAGAACAAGCCAGAGATTCGTAGACTTAAATTTGCTAAAGGGGCCAGAGGAAAGAGGATATCAGTGTAAAAACATACCAAGAAATCCGCTTTTGCTTTCCTGCTTCCAATTACCTAGCAATTTATCACCTAGGCAAAACACTGCAAATTTTCATCCTTAGCGTGCTGACTTGTTACGTTTTAATTGTTTATTGAGTCTTTAGTTAATTGGCTGCTTTTATCAACAATTTTATTTTAAAAAACACCTGGGATTAGAGTTAATTGCGTTTTTGCTTTAAGTGGGTTGGCTTTAATTAGCATGTTGCATTTCTTTTTTTTTTTTTTTTTACAATTGTAAAAGGTTTGTGTTTACTGCTGGCCTTCGATGGGATTTCATTGCCTTGGAATCGGTCGCTTGCGACACCCGAGTCGAAAGTAGATCAGTTCGACAAGTCGATCGACCCGTTTCTTCCTTCCCAATGATATGCCCAGATCCCTGTAAACCCCAATGATGAAATCCTTTTCAAGCATATCCCCCATGAGGTCCAGATTCATAGGATGTCATCTTTTATTCTGTCAAGGCCATTTGGAAGATAGAGTGGGTGAGAGGCAGGGATAGGCCGCTGGGGGTTCGGGAGAACCTCTAGCTAAGATTCTATGCAGTTTGGAGAACCCCCAAATCCCACTCCTGACCCCACCCCGTCCACCCCTCCCCTCTCAGGAGTCCCCATGTGGCCCGTTTTAGATGCAGGTAAGTGCAGAGCGCGCGAAACAGACCTATTGGAAATTCGGGAAGAGGGCTTCCAGAGCCTGGAGAGGCCGTTTTCACTTTCCCAGTGACTCGAGGAAAGCCTCCGGAGCCCGGGGAGGGCAAAAATACCCCCCCCCGCTGTGGTGCAGGAGGCCGACTAAGCCACACCCACCATGGCCACGCCCACCCAGCAACCAGGCAGCGAACCCCTTGCTAAAATTTTCAAAGCCCATCCCTGGTGAAAGGTTTCGATTTGTGGGTTCGTAAACCCACAACTGCGTGCAGAATAGAGCTATCCAAAGCTAGGGGGGAGAAAAAATTTGCAAAATATGACATCTTTAATTTTTTTAAAAAAAAAAAATTAAGTTTTCCAATTGAAGAGGAGGTTCTGTTCGGCACCGTCTCCGTGTTTGCGATGCCGTGCGCTCCCATCTGAAGGGGGATAAGTCAAGTCTAGGAAGCCGAAGGGAAAAGCGCGTGAGAAAACAAGACGGGAGTATAACACAACCCCAAGAAAAGCTCGCCTTCCGCCACGGTCTGCGGAACCGTCTGGGCCGCTGAGCTGCCGTATGACAGATTGTCCTATTAACATGTCATCAAGTCGTCTTGTCGTCCTCCCCACCCCGTACAGATTCACAAGCCTGTCTGCAGCTAACCCCGCGAACAGGGCTCGAAGCGCAAGGCGACGCCAAAGCAAGTTAAATATTATTAACAAAGAAACGGTTGCCAGCATAGTTTTGCAAGGAATGCAAAGATAGTTTTTATGGATGGTGGGGGGGGAAGGGGGGGAGAGAAGGAAAAAGATACGGTGTGAAGAGAGATGGGCCATTTTAACTTATTTCGTACTTCTAGGAAGGTTCTGGTTCTTAAGGGATGACTACGGTTTTCGGTCAACGCAATCGGCAGCTGGATTTTAGCCCAGCCCATTTGGATCGGCCGATAAGTCAGAGATGTCCTGGCCTGTCTCCTCTCAGAATTGTTTCTGAGTAGGGAGAGGGCACCTGCTAATCCTTAGGGGCAGGGGTGGGCTTCAAACGTTTTAGCAAGGGGTTCTCTTCCCAGTTGCTGGATAGGCGTGGCCTAGTCGGCCTCCTGCACCACGGAGAGGGGGGGTTGCCCTCCCCGGGCTCCGGAGGCTTTTCTTGAACCTCCGGGAGGGTGAAAATGGCCTCCCCGGCTCCCGAGGTTTTTTTTTGAACCTCCGGGAGGATGAAAATGGCCTCCCCAGGCTCTGGAGGTTTTTCCTGAACCTCCGGGAGGGTGAAAACGGCCTCCCCGGACTCCGGAGGTTTTTCTTGAATCTCCAGGAGGGTGAAAACAGCCTCCCCAGGCTTCGGAGGCCCTCTTCCCAAACTTCTGGTAGGCCCGCTTTTCACCCTCCCCAAGCCCCCTGCACTTACCTGCATCCAAAATGGGCCCTATGGGGACTCCTGGGAGAGGCTAGGTGGGCGGGGCCAGCCAGGAGTGGGATTTGGAGGTTCTGCGAACTGCAGAGAATATTAGCTAGAGGTTCTCCCGAACCCCTGCAAACCCCCAGCTGCCCATCCCTGCCTCTCACCCACTCTTATCTTCCAAATCTTGACAGAAATAGAGCAAGGTCTGGTTAGTAATTGGATAGGAAACCACAGGAAATCCCCAAGTTGCATCCACACAGTCACCGATGGGGCCATGTTATAATCAGACCGAAGTTTTTACTTTTCCTGAAACCGTGATTGTAAACACTGGTTTCCCGTATTTGTGTTCCTCCTTGTTCTTGTGGCAGCTTTCAAATTCTGGGCCTGCAGGATTAGGGTTTCTCAAGGTGGGCCTCCCTTATTTTACACCCCAAAAACAAGAGACGACGTGAGCAACATTCAACTCAATTCATCCCCAATAAAACAAGTTAAGAGGAAACCATGGTTTAGGTGCTATTTGTCTAATGTTGATGTGGTAGCGACACCTGCTGGTTAAACTATTACATTACAGTTGAAATTACCTGGATCCAATGTGGATTGGATCCACGTAATTTCAAATAGCAATTTAATAATTTTAAAATAATTTAAAATAAATTTAAATTATTAAATTACTAAATAATTAAAATTATATAAAAGGGAATTTAAAATAGGGACGCGGTGGCTCAGTGGCTAAGACGCTGAGCTTGTCAATCGAAAGGTCGACAGTTCAGCGGTTCGAATCCCTAGTGCCGCGTAACGGGGTGAGCTCCGTTCCTTGTCCCAGCTTCTGCCAACCTAGCAGTTCGAAAGCACGTCAAAAAAATGCAAGTAGAAAAATAGGGACCACCTTTGGTGGGAAGGTGTGTTCCGTGCACCTTTGGCATTGAGTCATGCTGGCCACATGACCACGGAGACATCTTCCGACAGCGCTGGCTCTTTGGCTTTGAAACGGAGATGAGCACTGCCCCCTAGAGTCGGGAACGACTAGCACATATGCACGAGGGGAACCTTTACCTTTTAATGTGTATTAGCCAGGTGAAGGTAACACAAATAGGGAAAGAAGCCACTGGCTTCTCTATATCTCAGGGTCATTTGTTCATCTTTTTTCCCCCCTCTTATCTCAATCAAGTTGCAATCAGGCCTAAGAATCTAAGCCTATTAGAAACAAAAAAAATCGAAAGCAGAAGCATCTGTTGTAGCATCAATGAGAATGTGGTCCAAAGCAGCTCCATTTCAAAGGACCTTCTCAGGTAGAGGTCCTTCATGAAAAAGGTACTTTATTCACCCAGTGTAACTTTTTGGCAGAAATAGAACGTGAATTGTCCCCTGCTTTCTCCTGGCATCTGTGTCAACTTCTCAGTGTGGTCCATTATACTTCTAGGAGTCTAAAAGGTTCTTCCCGCACAAGCACTGAGCTGCTTCAAGCATGCTTGGCTTCAGAAGATATTCAAACATGCCCCAAAATAGAGGAACTCTGCTATTACTTGTCCCCAGAATCCAATAGTTCGAAGCTTCTGGGCATAAACTTTCAATCTATATTTATCATGCCCCTGCTAAATAATACCCATTCCACCTAAACGAATCCCCTTAGTTTGCTTGCAACGTCTTGCAAATAGTAGAAGTTCTGTTTGGTCACAATTTCCCCCTTTACAATCTCTATAACTGTTGCCTAAATAAATATTTACTCCACCTCCAATAGGCCCAAATGGTTCTCTTGACTGCTGGCCGAGATTCTAAGACTCTAGAGCAGGTATGTCCAATTTAGAGCAAGGTATGTCCTATTTTTTTTTTAATTTTTTTAAAATTTGATTTATATGCCGCCCTTCTCCGGAGACTCAGGGTGGCTTACAATGCGTTAAACAACAGCCTTCATCCTTTTGTATATTTATACAAAGTCAGCTTATTGCCCCCACAAACTGGGTCCTCAATTTACCTACCTTAGAAAGGATGGAAGGCTGAGTCAACCTTGAGCCTTGGCGAGATTCGAACCAGCAGTAAATTGCAGGCAGCTGTGTTAATAACAGGGTGCGTAGACCACTGTACTATCAAGGCTCTTAAATTTTAAGACCTGCGGACTGCCAACTCCCAGAAATCCTCAAGCCAAGGACTGCTGGGGGATTCTGGGAGTTGAAGTCAGGCAGGTCTTCAAAAGTTGCCAAGGTTGGACATCTCCTGCACTAGAGGATTCTTTTGCAATTGACCAACCAAATATTGTTGGGTTTTAAAAAAAAAATTAAGATTTCTCACCTGGCTTAGAACCCATACAACATTCGCTTCCCCTTCACACACACAACACATAAAAAAAAATTCTGCCCTTTTGAAGGTGCTACGGAAAACATACCTCTTAAAAACTCCACTTTGGCCAGCAAAGTTGTTCGTTGAGCCGATTTAAGCTTAGCACCTTCATGTGGAAGTCAAGACCCATCGATTGTGAGAACTCCCATCGATGCAGCTTGAGGAACCGCCCCACGCAATCCAGCACAAGCGTGAACTCAGACAGTGATTTATTCAACAAACTATGGTTTAAACAAACCCAAGCTTGGCTTCAGTCACGTGCACTGAACTGGCCTCTTTGCCGACCCCTTTCAGGTACCTAAAGAACGCAACCTACGCTGCTGCTTCTTCTTTTTTTTTTTTCAAGTAGAAAGAAATGCCTTGGTATGAATATGTACATTTAAGATCATGTGACAGCCACGGGTGCAAAAACATGGACAGAAGGCCAAGCTTTAGAAGAAGAAGAAAAATAATAATAATAATAATCACAAAGTTTCATCAACAGCCAGAGAGATGGGAGACCATCACACAATCCCTGAAGTATTTCTAAAAAACGGAAATACATATTTTAAATCAAGTCTCCCCCAACCAACCGAGTACCCTTCTCCAGTTTGTCCTCGATCCCTGTGGCCCAGGGATGACGGGAGATGTAATCCCACAATAGCGCCTGGCATGTTGAGAAGGCTTTCTTAAAAATTATTGTTCAATCGCAGTCATCCCTCTCTGTCTCTCTCCCATTCATACGCTGACAATAAAGATTTTATTTTAACAAACGTCTGTTTTTCACGGATAGAGCTACTGGGAGAATTAACAACTGAACCGCACCTACTGGCTTAGAAATTGGTCAAAAGCAGATAATTCACTCTAAGTCACGTCTCTAAGTTAAACAGCTTATGGATTTAATTCATCTTTTCCGATTGCCTTTCCCCAGTCAATACTCCAATAGCATTTCCGTAAAGTCAAACTTTTCCAATTTTGTTTCGTGTACGGGTTCTGGGGGGGGGGGGAAGAAGCTACACAAAAATTGGAATAAAACCAATAACTCAAAACTGAACGAAAAGCCAGAAATCTTCATCTTTAAAATACCTTGGAACAAAGGGAAAGCTTAAAAAAAAAAAAAAAAAAAAGACGTATTTAGCGGTACAGGGCTTTTTCGACCTTGGAGAGGGGAAGCTGATATAACCACGCTAAATGGGTTGGACTTAAGCTTTTCTCGTTTTCTTCACACCGGTGTGTTAAGCTGGATGGACAGGACCATCCTACCAATTCCAGAAGCGTTAACTGTGGGGATCCTTCCCCTGTCCCAGAATGGGGAATGTTAAAGGTCCAGTTGTTCTGGTTGAGAATAAATAGGGTCGTCCCCCCCCCAAAAATATTATCCGTTTAACTTCTCCCGTGTAAAGCATGTAAAATCGTAGCTTTTGAGTGACTCCAGCTTTAGAAGGGATACCTTCAACTGGAGCAAGAGAAAGCCTAGGACCAGCGATGGGTTGAACCGGGGCGAACCGGTAGTAACGGCGGGGGGGGGAGGTTCTCCCCACCCGCCTGGATGTCATCAAGTACGCTCTGCGCATGCGTGGGCGAACTGGTAGCAAAGTTTAAGTGAAACCCACCACTGCCTAGGACTAATGCAGACAACAGCCCAAAGCTTTTGGGGGTGGGGTGGGGGAAGTGTCAAACCCAGAAGGGGTTGATTGAAAAATTCCTTCCCACGCCCACCCATCTGGGCTCAACTCTTTTCATTCCCCTTCTCTTTATAGCAGCAAAAAACCTGGAGATGAACTACAAAACGCGACATGATTGCAACCCCAAAAGTCCTCAAACGGGGTCTTTTTGGAAAAAAAAAAAAAAAAGAAAAGAAACACAGAACACCAAACTTTTAAACTTTTTTTTTTTTTAAATGCTCATCAAAAGACCAAGGAGAGCCTGGCGATTCATTGTCATCTCTCTCTCTCTCTCTTTCTCTCTTTAAAGAGCAATTGGGCAAGTTTTTATTGGGCCAGATTTTTCTTTTTTAAAAAAAAAAGAAAAAGAAAAACTGTTACTTTTGTGATGAGGTTTGGGCAAAGGACGTGCCTGCTTTTTAAAAAAAAAAAACACACCACGTTACTCCGAAAAGTAACCGCTGACCCAATGGTCTGGGAGAGCGGGAAAACGGCATCCTTTTTTGCAAAAACCACAGGCTGTCTCCGTTAGCACCAAAACTCCTAACCTTTGTGGGGACGGCTCAACGTCGATTCCAAAGAGCAAAATGCTTTACGCTCGCCTTCAGCTCCACGCTCCACTTGTAAAAAAAATTTTTTTTTACGTTCACTCTCCCGCCATCGCCAACTTATTATGCGAAATGCTTCCTCGAGGATCTAGTGTTCACGCAAACGTCTGCTCGGTTTGGGATACCTGTTCAGCAGCAGACACCAACACGTCAAGCGAGGCGATCGAAGGGATCTTAAGGAAGCAACGAGCGCTCCCCTTATTCCTCTACACCGCCTCCCCTTCTCAGCTACCCACCCATATTAAAACAGGCAAGGGCTGCCTATGCTCTCCCAACCTTGTCTTCTCTACCGCCCAAAAACCCCACGTTGCCTTAAAAGTGGATGCTTCCAGCCCGCGTTCTCCAAATGCTCAAAGGTTGTTAGAACGAATTCAGAGTGCACTGAAAAAAAAGAAAAAAGAAAGAAAGAAAGAAAAAGAAACAAGGGGATTTTGTAGGCCGGTAAATTTAGATCCTACAGTTTCAAAGGCTGTTTTTTTTTTTTTTCCTTCTTCTTTTCTTGGGAGACAGTGTGTTTGTCCTCTTCCTTGCTCCATTCCCATCCCATCCTTTTCAATCCCAAGCAGGGTTTCCCCTCCCCGCCGAAGAAAATAATTCCATGGGCCAAAACCAGTAATTAAAACAAAAAAACAAAACAAAAAAAAAACCCTGTACACATCACAGCAGTTAGCCCACAGTCGGGAGTACGAGACCCCACAGAGTCCCAAATGTTTCGTTTTCGTTTCCTTCCTGCCACTACTGTTATTTTGGTCTCAGAATCCAGACTTGGAAGGAGGAGGAGGAGGAGGAGAAACTCCAGAGCATCTCTCACTCCTGCGCGATGCTCCTCAAGACGTACTTCACTGTGTAGGCGAAGGCCGCGAAGCCCACGATAACGAACAAGTTCGCCAAAGCTCCACCCAGGAGTCCATGGTGGCGGTTAGCTTGCTGGAGGCCAAGGGGATTGTTAGCCGCAGCCAAAGGCGGGTGCCCGTTAAGGATTGGCAGGCCGTTCTGACCGTGATGAGCTTCTCCGTCAGGGATGACATCTGGAAGCGGGAGAGTCGTTGGCCGGCTGTGGAGATCGTCTCGGGCCTTCTGTTTCTGCTTGATTTCCTGGACAGCAGAGAAGGGCAAGGAGAGATAGATTAGCAGGAAGAGATCAAAGATTAAATGCGCCGGGTTGGAAATTCTCTCAGCTAAGCAAAACAAAGTTCAGTTAAAAGATGGAACTTACCGTATTTTTCAGACTATAAGACACACTTTTTTTGTCTCCCAAAAGGGGGTGAAAATGTCTGTGCTTATAGACCAAATATTGCTGAAGCTCCACCCACTCGCCAGCTGGTTTTTTGCCTCCGCATGCCCCATTTTCGGGCCTTTTATCAGGCCATTTTCAGGGATTTTTTCAGCCCGTTTTGGAGGCTTTTTTTGGCCCGTTTTGGAGGCTTTTTTTCAGCCTATTTTCAAGGCTTTTTTGGTCATTTTTAAAGGGAAAAATGGCCTGAAAAAAACCTCCAAAACAGGCCAAAAAAGCCTCAAAAACAGGCCGGAAAAAGCCTTGAAAAAGGGCAGAAAAAAGGCTGGAAAATGGGCCTGGAAAAGCCCCCAAAATGGGGTGTGCGGAGGCCAAAAACTTTTGTTGTTGTTGTTGATTTCTTCTAAATTTAGGTGCGTCTTATAGTCCAAAAAATACGGTAGTTTCACCGTTCTGGCTTTGAACTAAAACCTTTTCAGAGCTTTCAGATGGCAGGCTCTTATTTGTTTCTGGCAAAAAAAACCCCACGATCCTAGATTTTTTCCCCCTAGATCTTTTTTGTGCGGATGGAAGGATCCAATGAGCCTCCTGCTATAGTCTGAAAACCCAGATAATGCTTATGGTTAAAAGCCCGCAGAGCAGAAACTTTCTGGTCTGGTTTTCAGATGTCCATGGTCATCCTCTAATGCAGGGGTGTCAAATTGAAGAGCCGTGGGCCGCATCCGACCCACGGGGTGCTTAGATCTGGCCTGCAGGGCCGTTCTGGAAACAGAGGAGGACTGGCCCGCAGTACCTGTACCAGCAAAAATGGAACACGGTAGGACCATGCGTGGCCCTCCCAGGCTCCGTTTTTGGCCGCGACTGCCTCCTGCAGCCCTCTGCCAGGGAAAAGAGCCTCAACAAGTGACTTTGAGCTGGCCATGCCCATCCTGTCCATGCCTCTACGCCACGGCTTCCTTAGAAAGTAAACAGCACAAACTTAGTCCCGGCAAACCTCTTTAATTCAAATGGCTGTGAATTATTTTCATTCCCAGTTCGAAAGGCTTCTCAAACAGTCTTGCAGGGGAATGTTTACAAACACCCACCTTATCTCCCTTGGAAAGCTGCCAGAGAACTAATTGCCACACACAGGGCAAGGCCAAACTTAGCACAGAGTCAAACAGAACTTTTCCAGAGCTTTTACCGAACAGATGAACTAATTGCTTCCTGCAAAAGCTCACGTCCCGTTCGCTTCTCTTTTATGTCTTATGGGAGGGGCCGATCATCTCCAAGCCTTACTCCCAAGTCAACCCTGTTTTCTTAATTGTTCCTGTCTCCTGGAAGATCTGCGCATGCGCACACTGGGAACAGGCTCACGCTGTTCTTCTGCCACGCTGATATCAGACTCTGGAGGCAGCAAAGAACTACCTTGGCCCCTCTCTGACTTAGACTCAGGGTCCTCATCCGAGCCTCCCCCAGACTCCAGGACTGGCCCATGTTCCTCCCCAACCTCCTCACTGTCCGAATCTGCTGCCAGCTGTGCTGGCCGCTGGCGGGCCACAACACCAAGGTCAAACACAACCCTGATGTGGCCCTCAATGAAATTGAATTTGACACCTCTGATCTAATGAGATTATTGCTCACAAGCAAGCCGCAGACACTAAGATGAGGCTGAAATGGGCTCAGGTGGTGACACAATCAAGAGCCTTTAAGACTCTTTTCACAAGGATGGGTGGATTTCTAAGTGAAGCAAATGTTGCCCTGGATTGTGGACGTCTCCAAATAAAAAAACCCGACCGAGTATAATAATAATAATAAAAAAAACCTGGAAATATCACCCAAGGAAAAGAGTAGCTTGTCACTCACTCACCTCCACCATGTCGGGAAACAATTCACAAAAAACTTTGTCTTTTACGTTAAATTCTAAACTCTGCGAAGCCAGCTGCCTCTTCTGAGGGAGCAAGAAGAGAAGAGGGGGGGAAAAAAGTCAGTCTTGGAACTATCATCTGAATGGAAAAGAAATCAAGAGTCCCCACATCTGTCTCTAGATTCCTTTGTGGCCAATATTTTAATCAGCAAGCGAACAAATGGCAGTCGGGAACGAAGGCTCACTCACCGTAAATTCTGTTGTTTCTATACTGCCCAGAGTGGGCCCTTTTTCAACCATAAAACTAAGAAGGCCTGTCAAGATTGTGGAGACGGACCAAGCTGGGTTCCATGTGTCGGGGTGGAAATCAGTAATGGAAAGACACAATCTACAGGGGGGGAAAAAAGCAGAAACATCGGAACTCCATCACAGCAAAGATACAGAAAATATTCACCAGGACAAGATTCCTTTATATAATATATTTATATATTATATAATATATATAAATAAATATATCTGATGAAGGGAGGAGAACTTGTGGCTCAGAGGTTAATACAACTGCCTAACATGCAGGCAGCCCAAGTCCGTAGGTTTTTATGTGCATATTCTTTCTAGCCAGGTTTTACCTACGTAAGCTATGATGTTATAAAGCCCTGGTTCTGTGAAATCTCATTCACACGTTTCTGGGCTTTTTGTTTCTTGCTGACAGACAGCAGACTCTGTGCTGCCCTTTGGGAGACTCAGATAGCTATTTCTGCCTTATATGGCTTCGTCAGTGAGCCACACCCTTTTCTCAGGTATCCTCCCTGTAAAGGTACAATGTTTACGTTGTACCTACCCAAAGGGCAGCACAGAGTCTGCTGTCTGCAGCAAGAAACAAAAAGCCCAGAAACATGAATGAGATTTCACAGAACCAGAGCTGTATAACATCATAGCTTATGTAGGTAAAACCTGGCTAGAAAGAATATGCATATATATATGCATATATATACATATACATATACATATACATATACATATACATATATATATATATATATATATATATAACATAAAAATTCAATGTCTATATAAACAGTGTGCTGTCTGAGTACAGTGATTTTTAAGGAATGGTAATAATAATATTCATAACATTAATAATCGCATATTTGCTCCTTCATTTTCTTTCGAAGTGAAGATGCGGATTTACTTCCAAACGTGGTACCACAAGGTCAAGTCATCCCTAGTGAAATATTTCTCAATATTAGTAAGTGCAAGAGGTGAAAGAGATGCTTTCAAATCTCCGGCTGAGAAACAAACAAACAAACAAACCAGGAAATCATTAAGCAAATGATCTTACCTTGTATTGCATTTAAATCTTCCATTTGGTGTGATCATATAAATACTAGGAGGTTTGAAAGGAAATTCTCTGGGGAAAATTAACTTCCCATGGTAGTAGCCACCTGAAAGAGGAATAGTGGGAAAAGAGAACCGTTTTTAAATTTCACAGCAAAGCATGTTATCCAAAGGAGTTTGATGCACAGAGTTTGAGAAGAAAACTTCTGGATTTAACCATGGGGCCCCTTTTGGTTACAAGCGATTCGACGAAAAGGAGAAAGTTCTCTGAAATAGGCAGATGAGAGATTAAAAACAGGTCCTGCCTGATGAGTTACTCTGGCCATCTCCTTTATCCTCCTACGATGCTAGCACTTCTAGATACAAGCCCTTCACTCTTTCTCAAGAATAGCAATAGCACTTAGATTTATATACTGCTTCACAGGGCTTCACAGCCCTCTCTAAGCGGTTTTACAGAGTCAGCCTATTGCCTCCAACAATCAGGGTCCTCATTTTACCCACCTCGGAAGGACGGGAGGCTGAGTCAACTTTGAGCCAGTCGGTCAGGATTGAACTGCTGGCAGTGGGCAGTTAGCCTGCAATACTGCATTCTAACCACTGACGAGGGAGGGTGGGAGGGAGGGAGGGAGGATTCATTTTACCCACTTATAGAGTCAGCCTATGGACCCCAACAATCTGGGTCCTCATTTTACCCACCTCGGAAGGATGGAAGGCTGAGTCAACCTTGAGTCAGTCGGTCAGGATCGAACGGCTGGCAGTGGGCAGAGTTAGCCTGCAATACTGCATTCTAACCACTGACAAGGAGAGAGGGAGGGAAGATTCATTTTACCCACTTACAGAGTCAGCCTATGGACCCCAACAATCTGGGTCCTCATTTTACCCACCTTGGAAGGATGGAAGGCTAAGTCAACCTTGAGCCTGGTGAGGTTCGAACTGCCAAATTGCAGGCAGCCAGCAGATGCAGTACTGCACTCTAACCACTGCGCCACTGAGGCTCTGAAGCACCTGAATCTCACCTGGCAACTACAAACATTCCTGGCAATAAATTTTGGAAGTTGATGCTTCTTGACCAACTACGTAGGATTTTATAATATATACATGTACGTGATTATAAAAATATTAAAACAAAGAGCACAGGGAGAAAAAAAAACCCTGGAATTCTGTTCTCAAGCAAGACTAAAACAACACGTTCCCAACTTCTCCATGAGGGAGGCTGGTCTTTAGGGTGAGTTTACTCTGATGCCAAGCTACGATTTACCTTCATAGGGTGTCATTTCAGGTCCTCGTACAACATAATGCCTGCAAGAAACAAAACAATAAGTACAATTACACAAGTCACATTTCGAATCAGAAGTGAGGAACGAGGGTGTCCTGCCTTTTCAAAAGATCCCCAGATGGAAATCTGCTCTGTTGTGCCCAGGGCCCGCTAATAAGATTGTGTTATAGGTAAAGGTTCCCCTTGCATATATGTGCCAGTCATTCCAGACTCTAGGGGGCGGTGCTCATCTCCGTTTCAAAGCCGAAGAGCCAGCGCTGTCCGAAGACTTCTCCGTGGTCATGTGACCGGCATGACTCAACGCCAAAGGCGCACAGAACGCTGTTCCCTTCCCACCAAAGGCGGTCCCTATTTTTTCTACTTGCATTTTTTACGGGCTTTCGAACTGCTAGGTTGGCAGAAGCCGGGACAAGGCACGGGAGCTCACCCTGTTCTGCGGCACTCGGGATTCGAACTGCCGATCGAGAAGCTCAGCATCTTAGCCACTGAGCCACCGCATCCCTTTATTCTTTATTTATTTATTCTTTATTCGTGTTTTAAGGAGGTTCAATCTCTTGACGCCTTTCGGGGTCAGCACCCACCCACCCCCGCTCGCCTCCTCCCATTCTTACCACTCAAGGATATTGGATGGCAAAGGCTCAGCACAAATATAAGGCACTGGATCTTTTTTGATGCGCAGGTAGTCCTGTTTGAGTCGCTGGGTGGCCGTGGTGGGGGCGCGCTTGTGGCTGGAGTTGCTCATCTGAAGGCAGAGAGGGGAAACGCATAAGAACAAGTGAGCCAAAGGAATTTAAGCTCTCCACAAGCTGAAAGAGAAGCCTCGAAGTGGTTAGCGGGGGAAAAATAAAAAGTTATAATTGCTTGGAATACTGCATCCAATTTTGGTTGCCACGATGTAAAAAAGATGTGGAGACTCTAGAACCGTGATGGCGAACCAATGGCATACGTGCCACAGGTGGCACGCGGAGCCATATCGGTGGGCACGCAAGCTCAGCTCCGGCGTGCATGCGTGCACCGGCCAGCATGAGCCTGAGTGGCGCAGCAGACTAATGCTACTGTTAAAGGTAGTATTTAGCTTCCAGCTGCCTGCAATTACTGCGAGTTAGATTCCCGCCAGGTTCAAGGTTGACTCAGCCTTCCATCCTTTCTAAGGTAGGTGAAATGAGGACCCGGTTTGTGGGGGCAATAAGCTGACTTTGTATAAAATATACAATAGTATGAAGGCTATTGCTTAACGCATTGTAAGCCGCCCTGAGTCTCCGGAGAAGGGCGGCATATAAATCAAAATCAAAATCAATAAAAAATAAATAAAATTTTCGGGCCTTTTGGGCCCACCAGAAGTCAGGAAAAAGGCTGTTTCCGGCCTCCGGAGGAGTGGGGAAGACCATTTTTGCCCTCCCCAGTCTCCTAGAAAGGCTCTGGAGCCTGAGGAGAGCGAAAAACAGGCCTACCTTGCCATCGCATGCCAAAAGTGGGGGGAGCGTGTGCGTGTGTGTGTGTGTGTGTGTGGGGGGGGCACACGCATGCGTTGGGGGCGGGGCGCATAGAATTATGGGTGTGGGCACACACGCGAGCGACCTCCCCCCCCCCACTTTTGGCACACGATGGCAAAAAGGTTAGCCATCATTGCTCTAGAAAGAGTGCAGAGAAAAGCAACAAAGAGGATTATAGGGGACTGGAGGCTAAAACGTATGAAAAATGGTTGCTGGAACTGGGGATGTCTCGTTTGATGAAAAGAAGGACCAGGGGAGACATGATAGCAGTCTTCCGATATCTCAGGGGCTGCCCCAAAGAAGAGGGAGTCCAACTATTCTCCAAAGCACCCGAGGGCAGGACAAGAAGCAACGGATGGAAACTCATCAAGGAGAGAAGCAACTTAGAACTAAGGAGAAATTTCCTGACAGTGAGAACAATGAACCAGTGGAACAACTTGCCACCAGAAGTTGCGAATGCTCCAACACTGAAAGTTTTATGTTAGGCAGCCACCAGAAGCAATCTAGAACCGCAATGCAGTTGCCTTTTGTTGACAAATGAGCCAGCAGTGAGATCGTCTCTAAGCCAAATCAAGTCCATTTCTTTTAACCTTTCCAGAGAGATGGGGAACAGGATTCACATGTTCCGGTAAAAACCTGCAGAATTAAAGGGTCCAAAGTCTAATCCAAGCAATTTTAGGATTTAAATAATGCAAAGGGAAATTACCCGTTCTAAACGTTCTGTTGGAATAACTGTTGGGAAACTCTTAAAAACAGCCTCATGTGAGAGTTTGACAGTGCTGACTTAATTGGTCGTAAGAATCATTTCCTTCTGATCGGATAACAGTCATTAAAGAATCATTTCCTTCTTTGATATTATCAATTGATTATAGAGAAGACCGAACAGAGGGTTTAACTAAGTAACGCAATTTTTTTTTTAAAACACGGATAAGCGAAGACGAGGGCGAATAGGATCTGAGAACAATAGTCATAATTATTGCGTGTATTAAGATTTACTATCTGTACTTAAAAAGAGATTGCACCCAGACGGTACACTGTTATTGGGAATATAGAAATTTTATATACAACCCAAGAAAATTGTACAACAAAAAATGATAAAAAACCATAAATACATCAATTACTACATTTTATTTAAAATGTTATTAAATATAGTAAACGTAGACCAGAAATCCCATGAAACCACCAAATTACGTAGGATTTTAGCATTTCCCATGGCCTCAGAATGACATTGTTGTTTTGATATGGTTTTTTTTTATGTATATGTGATTGTTTTTTGTGTTGTTTTTTTAAAAACTGTTTAATAAAAATTATTTTTTTTAAAAAAAGACAGTCAAAATTTCACAGGAGCTGACTTACTCGTCTCATAAGATTGCAGACGGTTTTAAAGCAGAAAAGCAAAAAAAATAAAAATGCTAAGTCAAAGAAAGATCTTTGCCATTTTTTTTTTAAAAAGAATAATAATAATCCAATTAACAATTATATTAATAGTGAGGTTCTTAAAAGATCTATATTATGAAGCATCCGTTCAAAGTACGGATGCTTCATAATATAAAACCAACTGCCCAGAGTTGGTTAGTAAATGGGCTGCTATATAAATGTAATGAATGAGTGAATAAATAAAGATTCTTGGGCCAAAATAAATAAATAAATAAAATCATTTCCTTCTAACCAAGGTAATAGCCATAAAAATAATTTCCTCCCCTTATCCAGGAGCCCCCTAAAGGCAACATGAGAGCATCCCACCATCCTCATTTGGATAAAATCTCCAATCCCCTTCCTATTTAAACCCACATCCCTTAACACGATTTCCCTCTCCATCACTTGTTCTGTGGCTTGCAAACTAGATCCAAATATCATTTCAACTTGCCTCAAATTTCTTCTTTTGCCTTGATCAATTCCTCTCCTCAAAAAGTACCCCGCCCAAGTACCGCGTTTCCCCCCCCCCAAATAAGACTGGGTTTTATATTAATTTTTGCTCCAAAAGACGCATTAGGGCTTATTTTCTGGTTAGGTCTTACTATGGGGAAAATACGGTACTAAAATGCATCCGTCTGGCTGATGATCTTAACTGGGGCTTATTTTGGGGGTAGAGTTTATATTTACGAGCATCCGGAAAAATAATGCTAGGGCTTATTTTCCAGTTGGGTCCTATTTTCGGCGAAGCAAGATAGTACCCAAATACCACAGCCTGCCTATCTCATCCAGGTACCTTCCAGAATTACCAGGCGAGGAAACGTCATAACCTTGTTGACTAAGGATGACGGAAGGCAAAATAAATCCAGTTCATCTCACCAGTTCCTTGCTCGGGTATAGCTGAATCATAAATACAAATACTACATCGCGAGGAGGTCGCCAGGGAGCCGGGCTAGACTCTAGGAAGCAGAGGCATAAATTAAAACAATCCCAAAGGACTATTGTGGGGGAAAAGAAACACTCTTATTGTGCTTAGATACAAGCACACTCTAAATTTAAAAAAAAAATGTATTAATTCTCTTCCATGGCACAAAAAGCCTACCAGTTTAATTCCCAAAAACAAGATTTTTGGAATATTAATGGTGGGGCAGCTTTCCTCAAAAGAAAAAGGCTTCCTTGTTACATAGAATTCCTTGGCTTAATTCAAGGGTCTGCAACCTAAAACACTTGCAATGTGTTGCAAGTATTTGGACCTGTTTCCCACAGAAAAGAAAACACCGGGAGCCACAAAACCCTTCCCGTGCCTGACTATTTCTTGAGTGGCCACAAAACTAACATATGTAGTTGAATTAAGTGTTCTGTTTTCTTCTGAAACTTTTCTTTTCTTGCATTTATCCATTGTTGGCCTACCGGTTTGAAAAGGTCAATAAATCGCGTGCCGGCGGGTGTCGCACATTGGCGGTTGTGACGCATATTTTGAGTGACAGGGAGCCGCAGCAGAGGGGTGCAAGAGCCACATGCGGCTCCAGAGCCGCAGGTTGCTGACCCCTGGCTTAATTCCACAAGATCATTTTCCTTGTGAGAAATGGGAGAATTCCTTAGAAGAGGGCCTAACATTGTATTTTGCAAGGAAATAATGTGGGATTACCCCATCCTGTTGGCTAGGCCTAGTTAATCTGAGGCACCCAATAAAAGAAGTTATCTTCCTCCCTGCTTCTCATCTGCTCTAAACAAGGAAGTCATAACAGTCTTCTCACAGAATACCAGAAGGTCTTCTAGTCCAACCCCCAGCTCAAACAGGAGACCCTATACCATTACAGACAAATTGCTGTCCAATCTCGTCTTTAAAAAAAAACTCTACAACTTCTGGAGGCACGTCGTGATTAATTGTTCTGTCAAGAAATTTCTCCTCAATTCTAAGTTTTGATCGCTTTCCCAGAAACAGAACCGGTCTCTTCCAGCGAACAAAAGCTCAAAGGACAGATGTTGGGGACAAACAAGACCACGCCATGCCCTATGTGGCAGCCAGGCTGGAACGGTGACCCAGATGAAGGAGAAAAGCATTTCCTTTGTTTACCAAAGGTTAAGCAAGGATACACCAGACAAAATTTATGTGCAAGCTATTAACTGGGATAATCCACACATTTCAGAAACTGCCTTAGACACTGTTGAAGCTTTACACCAAGTCAAGGTTGCCTGAAAAAAATCAGATATGCTGTTACACCCTAAGCAAACGAAGATCGTTTCCCGGTGGCTGAAAGCTGTGGGGATCTGGATAGTGAGAAATAAGCTTTGGCTCAACCCAAACAACCTGCAGGTTTTGAGTTTGCTGCGTTTCGGGGGGAGTGGGGGGTGGGGGGTTCTCTTATTTTCTTTCTGGATGGGGCAGAATCCCCACGATCAAGAACCGAGACGCAATTGAGGGATCTTCAATTTGGGGCTTCTGCTGGAAAAACCACAGGGCAGCCGTGCCTAGAGGGCCATTGCACTGGTCTATCGTGTGTTGTCAGTGGTGGCCTGATCCTAGGGCAGGGGTCCTAACCGGAAGCCCCCGTTCAATTCTGGAGCTGACCGGAAGTCCAGTTCCCCCGCCAGAGAGTCTCCTCCGAGCACGGCGTCCTTTTTCGTCTGCCGACCGGAAGTCAGTTCCCCCGCTATAGAGTCTCCTCCTAGCGCGGCGTCCTTTTTTGTCTACCTGTCCTAACCGAAAGCCCTATCAATTGTGGAGCCGACCAGCAACAGGGAGCCGCAGCAGAGGGATGAAAGAGCCACATGCGGCTCCAGAGCCACACGGGTTGCTGAGCCGTCTTCTAGGGCCTGCTTTTCTGATCACTCATGCCCCTGGTCACTTGTCATTTGAACCACCGCAATGTGCGTTTGCGTGGGAAGGCCCTCGAAATCGAGGATCCAGAATGCAGCAATGCAACTAATTATAGCTGCACCTTGAGGCACTCACATTAACACCTACGCACCGTGAGCTCCACAGAGCTCCCTAACTATTTCCAAATTTAATCCAAGATTGAGATTAGTAAGTGAATAAAGCCTTTCATGGCACAAGACCAGGTTACCGCCCGTCTCCACCTCTCCCCGTTCATCCTGCGGAGTTCCAGCTTTGGGTTGAAACCATGTCACCTGCCAGGACCCAAAAAAAGCATCATTCTTCCCTGATCCCCTGGACAGAGTGAACCTCTCTCTCCAGAATGAAAGGCTTTTGTGAATGGACTGTACAATAGGTGGCCTCAGCCATTTGGTTTTTTCCTCCTTTATGTTGTTCCTCTGCTATTCTGTTCTTGTGGTTCCAGATGCTTGCTGCATTTTGTTTTGAATTCTTTAGAAGAGTAGAGTAGAGTAGAGTAGAGTAGAGTAGAGTAGAGTAGAATAGAATAGAATAGAATAGAATAGAACAGAACAGAACAGAACAGAACAGAACAGAATAGAATAGAACAGAATAGAACAGAATAGAACAGAATAGAACAGAATAGATTTATTGGCCAAATGTGAAGGAATTTGTCTTTGGTGCATATGCTGTCAGTGTACATAAAAAAACAAGATACACTCGTCAAGAATCATAAGGTACAACACTTAATGATAGTCATAGGGTATAAATAAGCAATCGAATACTACTAGGAAACAATCAATATAATTTGGGGTTTTTTTTTAAAGGCTTCCACGTAACCGTAAGCCGTCAAAAGTTATATTGTGCGAGTCGGGAAGTCGAATAAATCAATTTAAGGGATAGTTCAGCGAACAAGCCACAATAGCCAAGCTAAGCCACTATAAAAGCCAAAACCAGCTTCTTTCTGCCTCCTTTTGCTAAGTGCCTCCCACCACCACCATCCCTGCTACCCCCCAGTTACAGCAAATAGCTTTATAACAGCCAGAGACCTGCTCGTGAATTAACCCTAGATAGAACACAACTCTCAGAAGCCCCAGCTGCCGAAAATGATGGGTAAGGGAGTTTCTCTTCAGCCTGTATCTCAAGCTTCTATATCCCAGGGCAATAACCATACTGAATTCTACGGTATATAGTGCAATATCGGGTTTTCAGTTTCAGTTATATAGAATGTAAAGGAGGGCCTGTCTACTGCACGAGTCAAAGAGGGCTGTGAAAATATCTACAGACCCCTCGCATCCTGGACATAAATTGTTTCAACTCCTACCCTCAAAACGACACTATAGGCCACTGCACACCAAGACAACTAGACACAAGGGCAGTTTTTTCCCAAACGCCATCACTCTGCTCAACAAATTATTCCCTCAACACTGACAAACTATTCACTAAGGCTGCATTACTATTACTATTAATCTTCTCATCGTTCTCATCACCCACCTCCTTCCACTTATGACTGCATGACTGTAACCTTGTTGCTGGTATCCTTACGATTTATATTGACTGTTTCCCTATGACTATCATTAAGTGTTGTACCTTATGATTCTTGATGAATGTATCTTGTCTTTTATGTATACCGAGAGCGTATGCACCAAAGACAAATTCCTTGTGTGTCCAATCACACTTGGCCAATAAAAAAGAATTCAATTCAATTCAATTCAATTCTCTCTCTCTCTCTCTCTCTCTCTCTCTCTCTCTGTGTGTGTGTGTGTGTGTGTGTGTGTATTAAGTGTTTTTCTATCGAGACACCTGGTCTACCTCAACATGTGGGAGGGGGCATTCTGCTCCCTTTCGCCTTTCCGTTCCAATCCAGGAGCCCTCAGTCGCATTCACGACAAACCAAATTTCAACAAACTGACATACCAAATTTCTTTATCAGCAAAACATAAATTTGATATATATGTATATATGTATATATGTATATATGTATGTATGTATGTATGTATGTATATATGTATATAAATAAAGTGTTTTTTTTTCTGTCGAAGCACCTGGTTTGCCCCAATATGGGAAAGAGGGAGCATAACTACTTCCCTTTTGCCTTTCAGCTCCAATCCAATGGCTAGCTGATGAGAGCTGAATAGCTTGAAATAGATCTACACTAGTCTCCTTTTATTTATCAGCAAATATAAATTTGGTACACTGTATATATAATATATAGCCAAGTTGATTGCTTTGGGAACCGCAGCTTGGGCTTTCAGGATGCTAACTCCTCCCCCCCCCCCCCCCACAACCCCAGATACATCTAAGTTTAGTTTATTTAACTTGATTGTCATTGCACATGGTACAACGAAATTAAATGCCGTCTTCAGTGCATATATTATATTATAAGTACATATTATATTATAATATGTAATATATACACTGAAGACGGCATTTAATTTCATTATACCACATGCAATGACAATAAACTAAACTAAACTTAGATGTATCCGGGGTTTATTTATTTATTTATTGGTTCGATTTATATGCCGCCCTTCTCCGGAGACTCAGGGCGGCTTACAATGCGTTAAGCAATAGCCTTCATACTTTTGTATAGACCTGCTTAGTAGGGCTTTTGGGCCCCCCCACAAGCGGTGTTCTTTTTTTTATACAAAATCAGCTTATTGCCCCCACAATCCGGGTCCTCATTTTACTTACCTCGGAAGGATGGAAGGCTGAGTCAACCTTGAGCCTGGTGAGATTTGAACTCGCAGTAATTGCAGGCAACTGGCAGCTAAGTGCTACTTTAACAGCACTTTAGTCCCCTGTGCCACCAAGGCTCTTATAATATATTATATCTTATAATATCTTATAATATCTTAGAATATCTTAGAATAGAATAGAATAGAATAGAATAGAATAGAATAGAATAGAATAGAATAGAATAGAATAGAATAGAACAGAATAGAATAGAATGTAGGTAAAATGAGGACCCAGTTTGTGGGGGCAATAAGCTGACTTTGTATAAAATACACAAAAGTATGAAGGCTATTGCTTAACGCATTGTAAACTGCCCTAAATCAAATCAAATCAAAATTATAATATAATATAATATAATATAATATAATATAATATAATATAATAAATATAATATAATATAATATAATATAATACAATATAATATAATACAATACAATATAATATAATACAATATAATAATATAATATAATAAATGTAATATAATAAATATAATATATATAATATAATATAAAATAAATATAATATAATATATAATAAATATAAGATAACATAACATAACATAACATAAGGTAGGTAAAATGAGGACACATATTGGGGGGCAATAAACTGACTTTGTATTGCTGAGCACATTGTAAGCCGCCCTGAGTCTTCGGAGAAGGGCGGCATATAAATCAAATTAAATATATATATATACACAAAAGTATGAAGGCTATTGCTTAACGCATTTGTAAGCCGCCCTAAATCAAATCAAAATAATAATAATAATAAAAATATAATATAATAAATATAAATATAATATAATATATACACTGAAGACGGCATTTAATTTCATTGTACCACCGGCAATGACAATAAACTAAACTAAACTTGGATGTATCCGGGGTTGTGTGGAAGGGGGGGGGCAATTAGCATCCTTGAAAGCCCAAGCTGCGGTTCCCAAAGCAATCAACCCGGGCTGTGTGTGTGTGTGTGCGTGTGCGTGGTGTCCTTAGCCAAAACTACCCGCCTGGAGTTTACACGTGTCCGGCTTCCAGTCTCAGGAAGCTGCATCCACACGACCTGCTTGTTTCCTGGATTCAGCCCCTTTTCTAAAACCGACCTCCTGCGCGCGCATCCTTCCCCTTTCCCCCCCCCCGCCGGAGGAGGAGGAGGAGGAGAGGGAGCCAAAGGGGGAATAAACGATGCCCTCCATTGCCAGGCTGCGCCCGATGGGAGTCAGCCGCATCAGCACCATGGGTTGTGGGGATGGGGGGGGGGAAGAAACCCACTCAATAACAAAGGGGGCCCTCCGGCTCTCGGTCCTTACCGCTCGCTCGCTCTTCGATCCTCTTTGCTCGGGGCGGAGGGGGGAAAAGCTGGGCGCCGGAGTCCGCTTCAACAACCCGGCGGGCGCCTTGTCTCCCTTCAGACGCGGCTGCCCCAGCTCCGGCCACCGCGACCCTCCAAGATGGCTGCCCAGGGCAGGCCCAACTAAAAGGCCGGCTTCCTCGGGGTTTTTTTTTTTTTAAATCGCCACTTCCGTTTCCGGCGAAAGAAAAAAAAAGGAGGGGGAGGGATCACTTCCGGTTAGGCCTTCCCTCGACGGCCAAGGGATGGGATGGGAAGAAAGGTTGTAAAGTGTGGTGGTGGTGGTGATGGGGGTGGGTTGCCATAGAGCTCCGGCGGAGGGCGGGGCTAGAGCGGCGCCGTGTTTCGTCATCGTTAGTCGGGGATGGCTCGGCCTTTTTTTTTTTTTTTTTTTCCCCGTCCCAGGGCGGAGTGTCTCGTTCGTGTTGTGCGCGTGCGCGGGGGCGCGTTGCTGGCCCGTTGCCGTGGAAACCGCACGGGGATGCGCTCGGGATGAAGCGTCCAAAATATGCTCAATGGAGGAACGCACAAATTTTACCTCAGTCTCTCTCAACCTCAGAGGTCGAGAACAAACTATATTTAATGCAAACTATATATCTTTTCTTTTATGTACCCGAGAGCGTATGCACCAAAGACAAATTCCTTGTGTGTCCAATCACACTTGGCCGATAAAAAAAATTCTATTCTATTTTACTTCATATTTTCTATTCTATTCTTCATATTTTCTATTCTATTCATATTTTCTTTTCTATTCTATTCTTCATATTTTCTATTCTATTCATATTTTCTATTCTATTCATATTTTCTTTTCTATTCTATTCTTCATATTTTCTATTCTATTCATATTTTCTATTCTATTCATATTTTCTTTTCTATTCTATTCTTCATATTTTCTATTCTATTCATATTTTCTATTCTATTCATATTTTCTATTCTATTCTATTCATATTTTCTATTCTATTCATATTTTCTATTCTATTCATATTTTCTATTCTATTCTAATTCTGTTCTATTTAACAAACTCTCTATATAGAACTATATAGATAGAACAAACTATATTTAATTAATTAATATTTAATTAAATATATTTAAGACACCCACACACACATCCGGAAAATATTGCAGACCTATTTTACTTTGAAGGTGCCTGTGCCGCCTCAGAGCATCTTTTTCAAACTTTTTTTTTTGAAATTGGATAGTTAGTAGTTTACAAGTTAACTGAATAATGTAACTCCGTGATGCATAGAAAAAAATAGAGAGCTGGAAAATTATTATGTGATAATTATTATAATTATCACATAATATATTAATTATCACATAATATTATAATTATCACAATAATTTATAATAATTATAAAAATTATTATGTGATATAGGTAGGAATTGTAACAGTAACAGAATTGGAAGGGACCTTGGAGGTCATCTAGTCCAACCCTCTGCTCACACAGGTAGGCAGATCAAACAGATAAGGAGGTGAGAACAAAATAAGAGCATATTGTTTGCTTACTTCTGAGAGGAAACCTGCTAAAAAGGAAGGGAAAAAAATCACAGATATGTTGCTTGGTGTGAGGTGAATATATATACAATGTATATATACAATATATATACAATGCTTAACGCATTGTAAGCCGCCCTGAGTCTCCGGAGAAGGGCGGCATATAAATTGAACCAATAAATAAATAAATAAATATGACTTGAGCTGAGCAAAAGCAAATATTTTAGTTGTAACTCCTTTAAAAAAATTGGAAACAAAAGATAAAGAAAATATATAGATTCTGTGAATACTGCCTTCAAAAGAAGAGGAAGCATAATACTAAATGCTTCGATAAAACAGATCCCATACCTCAAAATATTCAGCGTCTTCTTTCATTTTGAATGTTAGTTCATTCATTTCTGCACATTCTAACATTTTGGTTATTATCTTTTCTCCTGTGGGGCTCTCCTCGCCCTTCCAATGTTGTGCAAACACAATTTTGGCTGCTGTTAGTACTTGTGTTAACAAGAGAAAAATATTCTAAAGAGCAAATTAATAGGTGGTATATTTTCGGCATGAAAAGGAATGTTGAAAACCGATTATTAAAAGAGTTTTTATTATTTTTGGAAAGAAGGAAGGAACTCTGCATTATGTTTTCTTCTGACAATTTCAGCCTTTCAAGGAAGACCAAGACAAGAAACAGGCAGAGCAGGCATTGCAGGAATGCTCTTTTTTAAATAGTAAGTTGGCATATCCATCTTTCTTTCTATTCCATTTTATATAAGTAGTCCTCAACTTACAACCATTCATTTAGTGACTGTTCAAAGTTACAATGGCACTGAAAAAAGTGACTTATGACGGTTTTTCACACTTCGGTCCGTTGCAGCATCCCCATGGTTACATGATTAAAATTTGGACATTTGTCAACTGGCATGTATTTAAGGCAGTTGCACTATCCCAAGGTCATGCGGTCACTATTTATGACCCTCCCAGAAGGCTTCAGATGAGCAGAGTCAAGGGGGAAAGCCGGATTCGCTTAATGGCCACATGATTCACTTAACAACTGTGGCAGAAAAGTTCATAAAATGCTGTGACTCACTTAAGAAGTGCTTTACTCAGCAGCAGATGTGTTGAGCTCAATTGTGATCATAAGTCATAAGGACTACCTGTATTAAACAAAATCAAGGTGAGGTTATTTTAATTTTTCATGTCCCCCCCCTCTTTTAAGAATATCCTTTAACCAACCTTCCTTCCTTCCTTCCTTCCTTCCTTCCTTCCTTCCTTCCTTCCTTCCTTCCTTCCTTCCTTCCCCTCTTAGCATTTCACTCATACCTTCTCTTTCCCAAAGGTTATTTCTAAATTTCTATACAGACCATTGTTGTTAGTTGCGAAGTCATGTCCAACTCATCGCGAACACATGCACAACGTTCCTCCAGGCCTTCCTGTCCTCTATCATCCCCCAGAGTCCATTTAAGCTCACGCTAACTGCTTCAGTGACTCCATCCAGCCACCTCATTCTCTGCCGTCCCCTTCTTCTTTTGCCCTCCATCGTTCCCAGCATTAGGCTCTTCTCCAGGGAGTCCTTCCTTCTCATTCGGTGGCCAAAGGATTTGAGTTTTATCTTCAGGATCTGGCCTTCTAAAGAGCAGTCAGGGTTGATCTCCTCTAGAACTGACCGGTTGGATGGCCTTGCAGTCCAAGGGACTCGCAGGAGTCTTCTCCAGCCACCACAGTTCAAAGGCCTCCATTCTTTGACACTCGGCCTTCCTTATGGTCCAACTTTCACAGCCATCCATTGCAACTGGGAAAACCATAGTCTTGACTATACGCACTTATGTTGGCAGGGTGATGTCTCTGCTTTTTAATATGCTGTCTAGATTTGCCATGGCTTTCCTCCCCAGGAGCAAGCATCTTTTAATTTCTTGGCTGTAGTCCCCATCTGTGGTGATCTTGGAGCCCAGGAAAATAAAATCTGTCACTCCCTCCATTTCTTCCCCATCTATTGCTAGGAATTGAGAGGGCTGTAAGTAAGTACTCTAGTCTACACCCCTATGGGTAGCAATTAGCTTGGGCGGTCAGCCCCTCCCTCTCTTCCCACTTTTCTGCCAACCTCCCTACCTCCCTACCTACTTTCCTTTCTACTACAAAAGGCCCATTTAGTTGCACTGGCCTAATATGACAATCACCTGTCAGGATAAAAAGGGCATCCATTAAACTCAGGGTAGCTTACCGGACACGCCTTATTTCTCACCACTATCCAGCTCACCCCTTGGGATAGCTAATGCTGCTTGACAGGTTACAGTCATTTCTCTGGTATTTTAATACTGCTATTAAGTGATCCCACGTGCATTACCAGGCCAGCCAGGGCTCATTTTAAAAAAAGATTTCAACACGTCTTGTTTTCTCCTGCATGCAGATTAATCAAACTATAGGATCAGGGATCACTCCTCTTCCCATAGGAAGGCCGAAACTCTCCAGATCTGCTGAGCCACTTTGAGGATGGATACGCTTCGCCAAGGCAGAAAAGAACCTGGGATTTTGTCCTTTCCTTCTTCAGGGATCCATTCCAGGTGTAGCGTTTTCTCCACTCGACCGGCATGGAGTCAAAGCTGAAGGTAAGCAAAGTATCGCTATAGTTAAGCCGAGGTAAATTCTCCTTCAGTTTGAGCTCAACTCCTGAGGAATTCATGGATTACAATTGTGACTTTTTTTAAACATTGGTCTGCTGGTTCTTTCTGCTGAAAGGACTTGGCCCGCAGCAAAAACGGCCTTTCAAATTTTGATCCAAGTAAAATTTTAATCAAAACATTTCACTAAATTAAATATAAACTAAATAAATTTAATCCGCTAAACAAATAATTCCCTCAATACTGTCAAACTATTTACTAAATCTGCACTACTATTCATCTTCTCATCTTCTCATCGTTCCCACCACCCATCTCCTCCCACTTACGACTGTATGACTGTAACCTTGTTGCTGGGATCCTTACGATTTATATTGATATTGTTTCCTGATTGCTTATTTGTACCCTATGACTATCATTAAGTGTTGTACCTTATGATTCTTGACGAACGTATCTTTTCTTTTATGTACATGAGAGCAGATGCACCAAAGACAAATTCCTTGTGTGTCCAATCACACTTGGCCAATAAAAAATTCTATTTTATTCTCTTCTAATATTTATCGACTGGGTGACAGATATTTCCAGTCGCCACATCCCAAATCTTTTCCAGTCAAACAAGCGGCACTAAGAGGTCATTAGCTTTCGTTCCACTGAAAGAAATGGGGAGCAAAACGAAGAGAACCGATGTGAGGTGCCACAATTCCTCACCCCACCATCTTGGGTTGCTGAAGGATGTAGTGCAGTTCTGTGGTTTCGTTTTCTGCTTATTGTTTCAACCTTAGTGTATTCCTAGGCATGGTGGAAAAAAGCAGGAGAATAATGTCCCAAAGGTGCTTTTTCAAAAGACCAACTGAACTTTGCCTTTCCTTGAAGATATTTCGCTTCTCATCCAAGAAGCTTCTTGGATAAGAAGTGAAACATTTTCAAGCAAAAACGAAGTTCAGTTGTCTTTTGAAGAAGCACCTCTGGGATAATCCATGACCTGGATGACTGAGAATCTCCACAGGCAAGAAGAATAATCCCTGTGGATCATTTGAGCTATGGGCGTTTGTGTCCTGTTGCACAAAGTGGGAATTGCATGTGCCATTGGTCCTTTGGAAACTTCCCTCATCGAGTGAGCTGGAGAGCTCTCCATTCTTGATTTTCTGGTAGTTGCCTCAACAGGCCCTTTTCAAGGTAATTTTTGGGTAAGGCCTTAGTATAAATCCTGAAACTGCCAATCCTGAATTTAAGTTGTTTAATTGCTTGAAAGAAAGGGGAAAGGTGCTTAGGTCTAGCATGCACACAAGTCATGGTGTGGAGATTAGCTCCAAAGTATCAAACAATACAGGTAATCCTCGACTTAGAACCATTCACTTAGTGACCGAAGTTAACAACAGCACTGAAAAAAGTGACTTATGGCTGTTTTTCACACTTACGACCATTGAAAAATCCCCATGCTCGTATTCAGTATTCAGACACTTAGCAACTGGTCCATATTTATGACGATTTCAGTGTCCTGGGATCAAGTGATCCCCTTTTGCAGCTATCTGACTAGCAAAAGTCCACGGAAAAGCTAGATTCACTTAACAACCCTGTTACTAATTTAACAGCTGCAATGATTCACTTAACAACTGTATTATTTGTAGCCATTACTCTCTGATGTCATGAAGGAGGGGAAATTCGGTTCCACTGCTGTTGGCGGTGCCGATTTATTTCACAAGTATTCCTCGACTTAACAACCATAATTGAAAAAGGCAGTTATATAATGCTGCAAATGGCTATAAAGGTGAGCTGATTGCCAAGCGCCCAAAATGCGATCACATGACTGTGGTATGTGTGTGTGTCAGTGGTGGGTTTCAAAAAAATTTTCTGTGGGTGTGGCTTGGTGGGCATGGCATGGCATGGTGGGCGTGGCAGGGGAAGTATACTGTAAAAGCCCCATTCCTACCCCGCTCCAGGGGAAAGATATTGTAAAATCTCCATTCCCTCCCCAATCCAGGGGAAGGTTGCTGCAAAATCCCCATTTCCTCTCGATCAGCTGGGACTCGGGAGGCAGAGAATAGATGGGGGCGGGGCCAGTCAGAATTTTTACTACCGGTTCTCCGAACTACTCAAAATTTCTGCTACTGGTTCTCCAGAACTGGTCAGAACCTGCTGAATCCCACTTCTGGTGTGTGTCCATTGGAATTTCGAAATTATGTCATAAGTACTTTTGGGGGAGGTCCACCATAACTTCAGAAGGTCACTAAGCAACCAGTCATAAGTTGAGGACTACCTGTATCTATTGATGACTGTATTTCTATATCTAATGTATTCAGGATCTGCATTTCTAGGCTGGCAGTTCTACCAGGTATCCGCTCTTGGGTATTAAAATAGACCGTGACCAAATGTGTATTTTTTTTCTTGCTGGGGAGATCACGGCAGTCTGGGATAATATGTTAAAAACCTCACCCAGTCACAAAAGATCTCGGGATGATATTGAACTGGTTTCTCTGAGTCTCAGTGTCTTTTTGTGTGCATAACATCTAGAGGCAGTGACAGTGATCGATGTACAGACACTGTTTTGAATTCACTGGAACGGATAATTAAATTTGGTGGGAGAACCTTCACCTGGTTTTGTTTCGTTTCGTTTTGTTTCTGAGCGCCCAGCTTATATAACACAGATAGGAATAGGGCCAGGAGATGAAAGTGACAGTGAAGCCAAACTTCACAAGATATTTAAATAAGGCAAACGTCCAAATGTAAATGAGTTAATCAGAACGGTGTTACGTCATTCATCAAAACATTTCATAATTCTGAAGACCGGATGGAGTCATCAAGAGCTTTCCAGGTTTGCTGAAATCAGGTTTGCAAAAACTACTAGGTAAGGAATAGATCTAAGAATATGCAAGGGAATGAACCTGGGTTTAAAAAAAAAAAAAAAAACATCAGATGGCATCAGAGCAAAGGTCATTTTGTCTGGCACCCTTTTTTAAGGTGAGTCAGATGCCAGCCAGATGCTTTCAAGTGGCCAACAGGTAGGCTGAACAACATTCTTTTTGCGATTCCCACTGAAATGCTTTTGAAGGAAAATTTGGAAGGCTTTCAAGGTACAGATGCCAAGAGCCCTTACTTTTGTCCTTGACATTTGTCCCTGCTTAGGAAGATAATCCTACCTATTCTGAAAGACGATTAACATCTCCAGTAGAGGCCAGGTCAGTCTTTTCCATATTTTTTTCACAATAGACTGTTGGCTTTGCTCCTACGTAGGTTTTCTCCTCAAAGAAAGCTGAAAACAACATTCATTCCTAATTAACCATTGGCTGATTTATCAGTTGGGACCCTGTGAAACACAAACGAAATGAAATAAAACAAACAACATATTGCCCAGGGTGAAATCTCTCCCAAGGCTTTAAAAGAGACGTTTGCAAAGTTGACTCTTGCCAAAAAAAAAATAGAGCCATTTCTTAGGCTAGTCTAGTGACCGTGATAAATATTTAATTTGAGAACCATTGCTATTCCTTCTAAGATTAGTTCCTGTGGGTGCTTTTCCATCACGAAAAACAATCCTTCCTATAGAACAGCCTCCCGTAGGATTAAATTCCCACCAGTAGGAGTTATAGTTCCCCAGTCCGGAAGGCAGTGTTTTGAAGAGGGCTGCTGTAAGCATTTTAATAAGTAACAAAAGACATTATTTTTTTAAAAAACTTGTTTATAAAATTTATAGGCTGCCCATGTTATCTCAAGCTAACTCTGGGCATTCACTTAGCTGCATCCTGATAGTCCTGTTAAAGGACTTATCCCCAGTTCTTGAAACACATAAAATATTCTGCTCTGGTTTCCCAGCTCTATTCTGCCACAGAAAGGAAAACCCATGATTGCAGCTGTCTTCGTTTGTTTTTAATGTTGGACAAGCTAAGGAAAGTAATTGATAGGTTCCCCCCAACATAATCCCCCAATGAGGATTACCTGCTGATGGAAAAACAACGCTCCACACAAAAGATGAGGTTGCTTTAGGACAAGGTTAGCGGGGTGTTTGGAATGAAGTGGTTATCAGAACAACTCGGACGTTGTGGGTGCTTCATCACTGGAGGTTTTTAAGAAGAGACTGGACAGTCACTTGTAAGGAAAAGTATAGGGCCATGATGACGAACCTATACCATGCATAGCCATATTGGTGGGCACGCGAGCTCAGCTCTAGCATCCATGTGCGCGCTGGCCAACTGATTTTCAGCTCTTCTGGGCCCACCAGAAGTAGGCTGTTTCCTGCCTCCGGAGGGCCTCGGATGGTGGTGGGGAAGGCCCATTTTTTGCTCTCCCTAGCCTCCAGAGCCTTTTTAGGAGTCTGGGGAGGGCAAAAACAGCCTTCCCCACTCCCCCAGAGGCCCTCTGGAGACTGGAAATGGCCTGTTTGCCAACTTCTGGTGGGACCAGAAGGCCCATTTTTTGCTCTTCCCAGCCTCCAGAGCCTTTCTAGGAGTCTGGGGAGGGCGAAAACAGCCTTCCTCACCCCCACCCCCGGAGACCCTCCGGAGGCAGGAAATGGCCCATTTGCTAACTTCCAGGGGTGGGATGCATAGAATTATGGATGTGGGCACGCACGCTCACAACCCCCCCCCCCCCCCGCTCCTGGCACGCGATGGCAAAAAGGTTAGCCATCACTGGTATAGGGTCTCCTGCTTGAGCCAGGGGTTGGACTAGAAGACCTCTAAGGTCCCTTCCGCTCTATTCTGATGGAACGGCATCTTTCGTTACCTGTCAAGCGGTCTGCAAGTTGCAAACATGTTTGGACCTGTTGGGTGGGCTATTTCTCGACATGGCTCTGGGGCTCTTCTGGAAGAAGAAGAATTGCATGTCCCAAAGTAGTCCAGCCGGCTGATTGCAGACATAGAGGAGCACATGTTAAAACAGAATGAACTTTGATTGGTCCAGCGTTATTCTGGCCAGCAACATCCAAACCGCTTCTGGTCAGCTTCATGTCTGTGGGTGGCCATGCAGCCAGGACGGAGTAAGTGACACGGCTTCTCCGT